GCCTCCTGGGTTCAGGCAATTCTCCTGCCTCAGCCTCCTGAGTAGCTGGGATTACAGGCACGCGCCACCATGCCCAGCTAATTTTTTGTATTTTTAGTAGAGACGGGGTTTCACCCTGTTGACCAGGATGGTCTCGATCTCTTGACCTTGTGATCCACCCTCCTCGGCCTCCCAAAGTGCTGGGATTACAGGCTTGAGCCACCGCGCCTGGCAATTTTTGTATTTTTAATAGAGATGGGGCTTCACCATCTTGGCCAGGCTGGTCTTGAACTCCTGACCTCGTGATCCACCCACCTTGGCCTCCCAAAGTGCTGGGATTACAGGAGTGAGCTACTATGCCCAGCAGTCCTGACTTTTTCCCTGCTTTTGGCTGTTGGACTGCAAAATAGATACAACGGCCCCCTCCAAATCCAAGTAATCCTCATCAGCGGATTCAACTAACCACACACTGAAAATACTCAGGGGAAAAAAATGGGTGATTGTGTCTGAATATGTACAGACTTTATTTTTTTGTCTTGTCATTATTCCCTAAACAGTAAAGTATAACGAATATTTACATTGCTTTACATCATATTAAGTATCATAGGTGATCTAGAGATGATTTAAGGTATGGGAGAAGATGTGCGTAGGTTATATGCAAATATCGGGCCATTTCAAATCAGGGATTTGAGCATCCATGGATTTTGGGGTCTGTGGGAGTCTGGAACCAGTCCCCCACAGATACCAAGGAGCAGCTGTCTTAATAAGAGGACAGAAGAGTGTCCTTCTGTGGGGTTTGAGCTGCACTCTGTGTTCAGCTTTTTTGGTGGGAATGCTAGTCTGAGTTTGTAAAATGCCTGCATTACAGGTGATTTTTAAAAGAGGGCAGCCTGCAGTCGCTAGTCTTAACTACTCTGGCATAGATGCCAGAGTGTTTATATACGTGCTTGATTGGAAATTTTGGTTGAATTGCCCATTGGTATTTTTCCTTTTCATCTGCATGTGTGTCATTTTGACTAAAATGTAAATGTAGTAATGGCATTTTTCATTGTAAAAATATTTTACAGATTTTCTGATGGAACGATAGGATAATGTCTAAATAGGTACTCAAAGTAACTATAGTTAAGATAACCCAAGGTCCGTTTATTCTATTCTTATCTTCAAAGAAATTGTATATGGTCCCAGTCACATACTGTGGTCACATAGTAAATAATATAATAAAAATAATACAGGGAAAAAGAAGATTTTTATTCAAGGCATCATTAAGGTTTTTAAAATTATGCCATATTGGAGTTTAGTCTTGATGAGTAACATTTTCATTAGTATTTTCCATCTTAAGCTGGGTATGTTTCACGTTTATTTCAGTTACGCTTCTTGATAGGAAACACATGGCTTCATTGGCAGCCCACAGTTTCCATAAGTATCTTATGAGCTCTTCCTGCTCAGAGCACTGGTGGTATAAAATGAAATGGCTTTCCCGTTTTATTTCTGGATGCTAATGACTTCCATCTCCACAGGCATTGGAATGGATACTTGCGTCATTCCTTTGAGGCATGGTGGGCTTTCCTTGGTTCAAACCACAGATTACATTTACCCGATCGTAGACGACCCTTACATGATGGTAAGTGTGAGCTGATGTGTTTTTTGTGACGGGAAGGGCTTATTCGTTTGGTTTGGATTGTGGCTGGGGTTTTGTATGTATCTGGGGTTTTGGTTTTGTTTCTGTTATATCTGTACTCCCTGCCCTGCCCAGCCTCCGGCAGTCACTGAAGTCGGGCCTGTCCCCTGCCTACACTTGGCACTGTGCATTAAGCAATTAGGGAGGAAGGCCCTCGGTTGCTTTTGCACCTGAGTTCATGCTGTGAGTAAGAACACTTCTTGTTTAGTACAGTGTCAGTGGAATAACGTTTTCGTCATTTTCTTCTTTCTTGCACCTTTCTTTTGAAGAAGGAACACAGGTTTCCAGTAATCGGCTATTTATTTGTCACTGGTAACTGAGGGGGTTGGTACCTGAGAGTGAACACCCCCTCAGGTACCAGTGGCAAATAAATAACAGATTATTGGAAACCTGTATCCTTTTCACATTGGTAACCTTCATCACCCCTGTGTTTTAGGCTGGAGATGTTACTCTCCTCTGTAACTGATCCTACATGTTTCCTTCAAGAAATCAAGGAGCTAGTATCTCATCACAATTACATGTTTCAAACATTAATACTGATACCTGGTTAATTCACCCCACCCAGCCACCCGAGCACCCACCACTGTGTGATGTGCCGCTGTGCATAGTAGGTTTCTGACCACTGAGTTCAAGTTCCTAGCTACTGATTGTGCACTGCTGAAGTGTGTTCCCCAATTGTTCAGAGTGGTTGCAGCCAGCCACTCTTTGATCCATCCAACCTTTAACCCCATTTCCCTACCACCCAGGAGGAGCCAGTGGAGAGATTGGGAATAACCGGTTTGCTATAAAATGCCAGATGTTCTTCCTGTGTGGCAAGGACAGTGGGATCAGTCTGCACTGTAGGGACTTTATCATGAGGCAGCCACATGGGGGGTGTTCCCCCTCAGGTACCAGTGACAAATACACAGGTTATTGGAAACCTGTATTCCTCCTGCACATCTGTCTGTTCTCTCCTCTGGAGGAATACTCTCGAGACTGGGCTAGTATGCCACAGCCCAGGCCCCACTCCGCCAGGTGGCAGGGATGGCTAAATCCAGAGTCCGTCGTCTTCCAGCATTTCCTAAAATAAGAGCACCCAGAACAGAACAGGCACTAAATCACTGCCCCCCAACTAGTGATTGGCTTGTCCAAGTTGCAGACCATCTGTTGGCCTTGCGGACTGGCTTGGTGTTACGGAAGTGTGGCCACAGATGGTTGTTGAGCTGCAATTGCCGACCTCCAGGAATGTGTAAGAAAGCATAAAGCAAGCAATTAAACAGCCACTGGAAATGATAACACTTGAGAGTTTGATTATCTTTATGTCAGAAGAAAAACTTATATTTTCTGTTTACTGTCTATAAATCAATAACAGTTTAGATAAGGGCAACTTAACTTTTAAAAGTCTCCAGTGGCAGTAAAAAAAATCTTCATTACCACATTTCTGTTGAATTGTATTTTAAAGTTCCCAAGAAAATGGTATCATGTACTGGGAAATGCTTTTCTTTTTCTTTAGAAAACAATATGACTTCAGCCCTTGAATATTTTTTTATTTGCTTATTTTTTTTATTTGCTTCCTAAATAAGGTAACTTTTCTGTTTATCTGATACAACCTTGAAAAGAAGCTGCACAATTTTTTTGTTTTGTTCTGTCCCCCAGGCTGGAATGCAGTGGTGCGATCTCAGCTCACTGCATCCTCCACCTCGCAGGTTCAAGTGAGTCTCATGTCTCAGCCTCCCAAGTCTCAGCCTCCCAAGTAGCTGTGACTACAGGTGTGCACCACCATGCTGAGCTAATTTTTGTATTTTTATTAGAAACAGGTTTTGCCACGTTTGCCAGGCTGGTCTCGAACTCCTGGCCTCAAATGATCTTCCTGCCTCAGCCTCCCAAAGTATTGGGATTACAGGCGTGAGCTATCGCACCCAGACTAAGCTACAAACATTTCTTAATCCAAGTGCATAAAAAGGATCTCCTCTGTAATCACTAAAGCCAGCCATTTTGAGAATCTGTTTGGGATACGTGGCTGTTTCCAGCCTTTCTTTAGGAGAGTTGTTTGCAGGCTTTTTCACTCCATAGCTCTTCCCCCACAGACTGTCAGTTCTAACCTTACTTCTCCACCTCATTCCCTGTATGTACACCCCTTTGCGTATCTAAATAAATTGCAGACTTCTAAAATTTAGAATGGGAAGAACTTGTACCTTCTTTATTCTGTACAAGAAAGAGGTAGTAATGTCTGAGAAAAAAAAGGAGTGGCCTGGTGACTCCGTGATGCAGGAAAGGTCGCCAGTCTGCAAGTCACAGAAACTGAGGACCCCATCCAGTAGCTCCCACTCCTGGAAAGTCCCCAGTTTCTCTGTGGAGTTCGCCCCATGGCTGACTCTCAGTTTCTGTAGATGGAAAGTCCCCAGTCATCCTTTCTCACGTTTCCCTCTCTTCCCAGGGCAGGATAGCATGTGCCAATGTCCTCAGTGACCTCTACGCAATGGGGGTCACGGAATGTGACAATATGCTGATGCTCCTTGGAGTCAGTAATAAAATGACCGACAGGGTAAGTAGGAGCTGCCGGCTGCTGCCTGGCTGTGATGTCCAAGTGGCATCTCTGGCCTTGGTTAGACTTCGCTTCCCATCTGGAAAGTGGGGAGCCCGGGCCATATGGCTTCCTGTACTCCTTCTGGCTCTCCACTTTTGGACAGTTATCTGTAAATTAAAATGAGAGAGCCTGGCCTATTCATCTCTTCATTTCTGCCATCTGCTCTTTTTCTCTCTTCCCAGTAGACTGAAACTGAGAGTTTTTTTTTCTTTTTTTTTTTTTGAGATGGGAGTCTCACTCTGTCGTCCAGGCTGGAGTGCAGTGGTGCAGTGTCTGTCCCCTGCAACCTCTGCCTCCCAGGTTTGAGCAGTTGTCCTACCTCAGCCTCCCAAGTAGCTGGGGTTACAGGTGCGCACCCCCACACCCACCAGTTTTTTTAATTTTTGGTAGAGACAGGTTTCACCATGTTGATCGGGCTGTTCTCAAACTCCTGACCCCAGGTGATCTACCCACCTCGGTCTCCCAAAGTGCTGGGATTACAGGTTGTAAGCTACCACGCCTGGCCCAAGACATTCTTATGTGTCTTCTAAAATAAATTTTTGGCCATAGTGATGGTACCTCAGTGTAAATCAGGCACAGCCTTACAGATCTGGGACACGTGGCACTTAGAGGGCGCCTGCTATGCTGTGAATGGGGGTGTCATGGATATAGTCGGTGACCGGACTAGGGGACCCGTGTGTTCACGCCTCTGTGTCATCACTTGGCATTCAGTGCTCTCACTGCCTGAACCTGTTCTTTGAACCAGAAATGAATTCCTGCTTAGATAGACAGGTACTTGTTTCTGTCCCCAAAACCCCCCACAGTTTGCCCTGCCTTAGAGAAGTTTGAGTTTCCATTAGGACCTATCCTGCCCTAAAACATGGCCTATGGCAGGCAGTGGTGTGTGGTGGTCTTGGTGCGGACTCTGCCCAGGCTGGTCTCAAACTCCTGACTTCAAGTAAACCACCCACTTCGGCCTCCCAAAGTGCTGGGATTACAACATGGGTGCCCTCCCAAAGTGCGTGAGCCACCATGCCCGGCTGTTGGTTTTTGAGACAGGATCTCCTTGTGTTGTCCAGGCTGGAGTGCAGTGGCGTGATGAGAGAGCTCACTGCAGCAGCCTCAGCCTCCAAAATAGCCGGGACCACAGGCTCATACCACCATGCCCAGCAGTTTTTTACATGTTTTATAGAGAAGGGGGTCTCACTGTGTTGCCCGGGCTGGTCTTAAACTCCTGGGCTCAAGCTGTCTACCCACCTCGGCCTCCGCGAGTGCTGGGATTACAGGCGTGAGCGACTGTGCCTGGCCCCGTAGCTTTGGTTAATGCCCTGCCCTGTCGTAAACTTTCAGGACTTCCTTTGGCATTTTATGGGTTTTTTTATAACTGTAAGTGTAAAAACCACCTTTTCTGGATTTTGAACTGAATTCTTTGACATTTTATTTATATCTTTTTCAACCCTAGGAAAGGGATAAAGTGATGCCTCTGATTATCCAAGGTTTTAAAGACGCAGCTGAGGAGGCAGGAACATCTGTAACGGGCGGCCAAACGGTGCTAAACCCCTGGATTGTCCTGGGAGGAGTTGCTACCACTGTCTGCCAGCCCAATGAATTCATCATGTAAGTTGATTTTTGTTTCATGTCACGTGACCTGTTTCTTTCTCTCTCTCTCCTCTCTTTTCAAAAATAGATGTGTTACATTTGGGTGCGGTGGCTCACGCCTGTAATCCCAACACTTTGGGAGGCCAAGGCAGGTAGATCATTTGAGGTCAGGAGTTTGAGACCAGCCTGGCCAACGTGGTGAAACCCTGTCTCTACTAAAAATACAAAATTTAGCCAGGCGTAGCAGCACCCACCTGTAGTTCCAGCTACTCAGGAGGCTGAGGCAGGAGAATCACTTGAACCTAGGGGTGGGGGTTGCAGTGAGCTGAGATCGTGCCACTGCACTCTAGCTTAGGCGACACGACGAGACTCCATCTCAAAAAAATAAAATAAAATAAAAAAGATGGAGTAAGATATAATTTGCATACTGTATAATTCATCCATTTAAGGCATACGTGTCAGAGGTTAATTGTGCAACCATTACCAGAGTCGATGATAGGACGTTTTCATCACTTCAGGAAGAAACCCCCTCCTCATTGGCTGTGACTCCCCCTTCCTTATCCTGGATTCTTCCTCTTAGCATAACATTAGCATACTTTTAAGGGTCATCTATTTTGTCGCACGTGTCAGTACTTTAATCCTGTTTTTAAGACATTTTAGGCTGTTGAAGTATATTTCACATAACATATAGCACAGCATTTTGAAGTACACAGCGTGTTGGTTTTTAGTATTCACAAGGTTGTGCGCCCGTCACCACTATCCAATTCCAGAGCAGTTTTGTCACCCCAAAAAGAAGCCCTGTAGCTCACTCCCAGTTCCCTCCTGCTCCATCCCCTGGCAACCAAGAGTGTACTTTTGTCTTTAGGGATTTGCCTATTCTGGACATTGTGTGTAAATGGAATCATGCAACATGACATGCTGTGTCTGGCTTCATTCACATAGCAGCGTGTTTCTGGGTCATCCGTGTTGTAGCATGAATCAGTATTGCATTCCTTTCCATGGCTGCATAATCCATTGCTTGGATGTACCATGCTTTAGCTGGTCCTCGGGTGACAGAACTTTGGGTTGTTTCCACCTATTATGAATGACCTTTGGGTTGCTACCTGTTATGAATGTTGCCATGAACACTCACGTGTAAGTTTTTCGTGGGCGTAAGTGCCAGTTCTCTTGGGTGTATACCTAAGTATTGGCTAATCATGTGGTAATTGTGTTTAACTTGAGGCTGTGCCATTTTAACTTTCCCAGTAGCAATGTATGAGGACCCCAATTTCTCTGCAATGCCTCCAGTCCTTGCTTTTGTGTCCGTCTTTTGGATTCTAGCCAGCATAGCAGGTGTGAAGTAGGATCTCTTCGTGGTTTTGATTTTTGTCTGCCTGATGACTCTTGAGGCTGAGCATCTTTTCATGCGCTTACTGCCCATTTGTGTGTCTTCTTTGGAGAAGTTTCTCCCCAAGTTGTCACTTTGCACACTTGATGTCTCTCTAAGAAAAGCCAGTCTTTTTTGCTGAAGGAAGTAGAAACTCCAGTTATGTATTTTATTTTTGGTTAGGTACGGATAAGGTACCGTGTTCACATGGTTCAGAGTCCTAAAGGTGTGAGAAGCCTCTGCAGTGCAGACAGCCTCGCCTGTGCATTGGTGAGGGCCCTTGCATTGCAGAGCTTTCTCACACCTTTGGAATTTTGCCCTTTTCGCTCCACAGAGGCAGCCTCTCTTTGTGTTTCTAGCCAATCTACTGCCGACATTTAGGTCGTTTTGTACATTTGGGAATCTATAGGTAAGAAAGTTTTCAAAATAGAATTGCTAAGTCAGAGGGTATGTGTGCTTGTAATTTTGCTACCAGTTCGTTTCCACCAGCAGTGAATCACTTTCCCCACATCTGAACCAACACAGTGTGTTAACAGATGTCTGGGTCAGTGCTGCTCTGGTTTGGTGGCTTTTTTTTAACTTTTAATATGTTCATATCTTTTGCCCATTTTTTAGTTGATGGAAGCTCTTTTTAGGGTCATTATCTGACAGCTTTCCTGTTAAGAGTGTTGCATTTTACTTACATCAAGGTTTTATTTTCCCAGCAAAAAAAAAAATTTTTTTTTTTTTTGAGGCCGAGTTTACTCTTGTTGCCCAGGCTGGAGTGCAGTGGTGCGATCTCGGCTCACTGCAGTCTCAGCCTCCCAGGTTCAAGCGATTCTCCTGACTCAGCCTCCCCATTAGCTAGGATTATAGGCACCCGCCACCATACCCCATTGATTTTGTATTTTTAGTAGAAACAGGGTTTCACCATGTTGGCCAGGCTGGTCTTGAACTGATAGCTTCAGGTGAGCCAATGCGCCCGACCCCGGCAAATGTTTTACATCAGTAGTTTTCAGACATTCCACTTAGAACTAAGTGGTGGCAGAAGATTCAGACAGGGTTGGGCATGGTGGCTCACTTCTGTAATTCCAGCACTTTGGGGAGGCCAAGGCCAGAAGGTTGCTTGAGTCTAGGAGTTCAAGGCCAGCCTACGCAAGATAGGGAGACCTTGTCCCTACAAAAATAAAAATAAAAGAGCCCATTGTGGTGGCAGCTGCCTGTAGTCCCAGCTATCAGGAAGCTGAAGTGGGAGGATTGCTTAACCCTAGGAGATTGAGGTTGCAGTGAGCCCTGTCTTAAAAAAAAAAAAAAAAAAAAAAAGCGGGGGGGGGAATGTTAAAATCAGTTTCAATTAAAACAAAACAAAAAAAATTTTATTTATTTATTTATTTATTTATTTTTGAGACATATTCTCGCTCTGTTGCCCAGGCTTGCATGCAGTGGCACAATCTTGGCTCACTGCAACCCCTGCCTTCTGGGTCCAAGTGATTCTCATGTCTCAGATTGCCTAGTAGCTGAGATTAGAGGCATGTGTCACCAGGCCAAGCTAATTTTTTTGTATTTTTAGTAGAGATGGATTTCACCACACAGGCCAGGCTGGCCTTGAATTTCTGGCCTCAAGTGATCCGCCCACATCAGCCTCCCAAGTGCTGAGATTACAGGTGTGAGCCACCGTGCCAGGCCTTCAATGAGTTTTTGTCCAACAGCACCTATGTTTTCTTTGTAAAAGATGAAGGAGCCTGTACATGTAACTACATTCCATCAAATATTGTCCTTAAACTTAAAAGTAACCCACTAGTTTTATCACACTTAAATTGTTGTTGTAAATTCATAGGTTGCACATAACTGGTGAAGTGCAAGAACATATCAGCTCGGTTGGGTGGGGTGGATTACCTGAGGTCGGGAATTCAAGACCAGCCTGGCCAATGTGGTGAAACCCCATCTCTACTAAAAATACAAAAAATTAGCCAGGCAGGGTGGTGAGTGCCTGTAATCTCAGCTACTCAGGAGGCTGAGTCAGGAGAATCCCTTGAACCCAGGAGGCAGAGATTGCAGTGAGCCAAGATTGCACCACTGCACTCCAGCCTGGGTAACAGAGTAGACTCCTTCTCAAAGAAAAACCATATCAGCTTTATGGTACAACTGAGTCTGAATTGAAAGACATTATGTCTTCAGGTCTGGTTTTTGGAAAACAAGTTTCTTGCATAGTCACAGAAATCTATTTTTAAAAGTGAGAGTGGATACAAATAGTATAGGTTGAGCTAGGGAGCTGGGCGTCGAGATTGAAGTCTGCGGCCCTGGCTTTGTTTTCATCGACTTGGGTGAGTACCGGAGGGGGCCAGCGTCAGGGGATGGAACGCTGATGTGCTCAGCTCCTGAAGCTGGTAAAGGCACAGCTGTCAGACCTGCTGCTGGGTAGTGAGGATACAAATCTGATAGATGTTTCATTTGGGGGACCGTGGTCATCTTTGAGAGCTACCTTTTTACTATTGCCTTCTGTTTCTAAGACAGGGACCCCTAAGGCACCTGGGTGCCACGTAGGAAACTCAAAATTGGTCAGTCTGAATTTGAGAACATGGATGCAGAAATCACCAAGACATTAGACCCACAGATTGCCACCAAATCCCATGGGCCGAAAAATCCCACCTGAGTCTGTAGCATATCAGTGGTCCTAAAGAAGCACTTCTGTTTCAGAAGCTTTGTTGCCTCAGATCACTTTTGAGTGCCAGTGGGTCTGTAGTGAAAATTACACACACACTTGTATGTGGCTGAGGGCAAATCTGGGCCTAATGAAGTCTTTAAAGGCTAAATGTTTTCATTTAAATATATATATATTATTTTTGAGACGTGGTCAGGCTGGCCTCTAACTCCTGGGCTCAAATGATCCTCCAACCTTGACCTCTCCAAGTGCTGGGAGTACAGACATGAGCCATTGCGCCCAGCCTGACAGCTAAATGTTTTGTTCTGGCAATAGCCTCAGTAGCAGGTTGCAAGGCTCTGTGCCATACTTGCCGGTAGTTGGCCTCAATTTAAGTAAATGCAAAGGCAGATATATTGTCTACACAATATTCCTTCTCTTGTGTTAATGACAATGAGTTCATCTCCTCGGTTAGTTTGACTAGAATGCACCCTTTCTCTTTTCTTCAGGCCAGACAATGCAGTGCCAGGAGATGTGCTGGTGTTGACGAAACCCCTGGGGACACAGGTGGCAGTGGCTGTGCACCAGTGGCTGGATATTGTGAGTAAACCACAGCTGTAATGGGAGTGAGGGGAATGGTACGTTTGCAGGTAATTTTTGTTGGAGGATTTGGGAAATGAGGTTTTTTTAGTTGCATATCCAGGAAGTTAATATTAGTCAAGTCCTTAAAGAAATCCTAGGACTTGTTCATATTCTTTAAATAACAGTTTTGCATACGGAATGCTTGACTGCAGTAGGTGAGCCCCAGCTTGGGACTTTAAGATGTTTCTATAAAGAATTTGCTAGGCAGGGGGTTAGCTTTGTTTACTTGGCCCTGAGATAGCTTCGTCTTTGATGTCCTAAACATCATTAAGAAATTTATGGAGGAGAATTTGTGAAAAACGTGGTGTTTGGGGTATAAATAAACCCAGGGTTACTGACAGCTTAAATTGCTTTTTGCAGTTTTTGTTTAATAGTTTTGTCTTTTTAAACTGATTCGTAACTCAGAACATTCTGATAAATAATTCTCTCGTGGAGAATCAATCTATCTAGAATGAGGACATGTCTCCTGGGTCATTTTTCCAGTGAGGTATAATCATACTGTAAGATTGGTTTTCTTCATTACCATAACAACCCACAAGTTATTAAGATTGTGGTATATTCTCACATATCGTGGTGCATTTAATTTCTACAACTATCACCTGAAACTACCAGGCCTAAGAAACGGTTGAAAGAGAAAAATCACTAATTCCATGTCTTTCGTCAACCAGGTATATCTTAGCTTGATGTAGCAGGGTAGAGAAATTGTCTAAGGCTGCCACGTTCTTGAGCTGTTTTTCCCTCTCCCCCGGTGATGGGGAGCAGAGTGGAAGGCCGTTAAGGGGATGTTGCACGGAGGTGCCTTTCAGCCCCACCTCCCAGGACTGAGCTAGCAGGAAGCTGGAAGCAGGCGAGGTGGGGAGTGTCGGATGGGCGAGTCCGTGTGCACTAGCGGACACTGCACCACATGTACAGCAGCGCTGCCGCGGGTCCTCCAGGCTACACATACCCAGTAAACGACAGCATTGGATTACAGAAATGTGAGATGAGAACAGAAAAGATGCCATGCTGACAGGTCTCATGGACACCTACAATGCGATCCACAGAAAAACCAAAGAGTTGGAAAATTCCATTATCTGTATTAAATTAAACTCTCTATAAGTTAACTAAGAAAAAGATACTCTTTTTGTCAGTGGCTAGAAGTAAAGATTAATCACATTTTCCCCTTTTCTCCCTCACCCCTGTTATTAGCCTGAGAAATGGAATAAGATTAAGCTAGTTGTCACCCAAGAAGATGTAGAGCTGGCCTACCAGGAGGCGATGATGAACATGGCGAGGCTCAACAGGACAGGTATGGTGGGGGGAATGGCACTTCGGTCCCGGAGTCCAGGAGAGTAAATGTCTTCACAGGCTTTGCAGGCCACACACAGTCTCAGGGTAGGTGGCGAGATTTTCAGCCAGTGACTACAGACTGTCCTCTACTGGTACCCGGTTGGCGTTCTATAGATCATGCAGATGGTCCCCAACCTACAGTGGTTTATAATTAAGAAGAAAGTCCTAACCTCTGATAGAGGAACTATTTCTAGAAAGCATTTATGTGGGTGCCAGGTGTGGTGGCTCACGCTTGTAATCCCAGCACTTTGGAAGGCCAAGATGGGCGGGATCACGAGGTCAGGAGATGGAGACCAGCCTGGCCAACATGGTGAAACCCCATCTCTACTAAAAATTCGAAAATTAGCTGGGCATGGTGGCGCACACCTGTAGTCCCAGCTTCTCAGGAGGCTGAGGCAGGAGAATTGCTTGAACCCAGGAGGTGGAGGCTGCAGTGAGCTGAGATCACACCACTGCACTCCAGCCTTGGCGACTGTAGGAAGCTCTGTCTCAAAAGAAAAA